GGGGGGGGGGGGGGGGGGGGGGGGAAGTCAGAGAGACCTTGAGGCTGCTTCTTTATTCCACCATGTCAAAGCACTATATTTTGGGGTTACAGTTTTCTGCACCCCAGCACTTGTAATTCACATCCTTGATGTTACTCAGTGGTGTTTTACCTGTAGTAGGAAAAAGGAAATTGAGGTTCAATGAATAGTAGAAAATTGTTTAACCCTTACTTATTATTCACTGCCTCCTTCCCTCTGACATGACACAGAAAGCTCTTTAGCCTCTGTTTGCCACTCAACTCAGTACTGTTTTCATAAAACTGGGATCTAATCAAGATCACATCTAAAGACCAAAGCATTGTGACTGAGTGGAGCTTGCACACCACTTGACCCCATCTTGGCAAACAGTTACATTCAAGAAGCACCCATGCCCACTAAAACCAATGAAATTTTTTTTATACCCTTCAGGAAAAGACCACTGATATAACATTTCATTGCAATGTTTTTCTCATCTCTTTCCCATCCTTTTCCTTCTGCACCTTTCTCTATTCCTCTATTCAACGTAATAAAAACAAACTCTAAACACAATGCTTGCTATGTACCTGGCACTGTTTTAGGTACTTACATATAATTAACATATTTAATCCTCACAATAACCCTATGATTAGGTGCTATGATTAGCCCCATATTGCAGATGAGGAAACTGAGGCTCAGAGGGGCTAAATAACTTGCCCAAGGTCACAGAACAAACAAGAGGCAGGGTCAAGGGTAAGTGTACCCAACAGCTAGAAGCAGGTTATGATGCTCCATAAAGCTTTTTATTAATTCATCCTCTTTAGCACTTTTCTCCCTTCCCATTTTCTCCTTATCTCTTTTGTCTCTAGCTAGTAGTTATATTTTTTTTCATTGAAATTCCAGCAATCTAATCAGTACCCTTTATTTCCTTTTTTCACCCACTACCTTAGGGTATCTGGGGCCAGAGGAAGATTAGCCACCCTGAACTCTTCTTTGGGGAAGCTTTAATATTAAAAAAGAGCAAAGGAAGGTGTTAGAGAAGGTTCTGTGTGAACCATGAGTGGTAGTTGCTCTTTTTCTTGTTAAAGATAAATTTCTTTTTCACCCTGTGTTTAGGAGCCAAAGAAATATTTTAAAAATAGGTAAAAATGTTGGCACCCATAATCAACAGAAGAAAGCCGGAGTGAGAACTGAAGTTAAGAACTTGGGAAAGCAGGTTACAGTAAGGCAGGACATGAGGTTCCGAACTAGTCTTCTCTCCCTTTTCCTTCCCCATGACCTTCTGTTCTTTTTTTTCCTTAATATGGCTCCAGATGCCATTTCAGAAGCAACGCTAATGGGGATGAAGACAATCTGCTATTGATCGTATGAGGAATGATTCAGATGGTAAATACATACATAAAAATAGAACACAGAGAAGCAACCTAGTTTGCTCCAGTAGTCAGAGCAGAGTTGAAAAGCTTTTGAGGTCACAGAGTTTTCTCTGCCATAGAAATCTCAAATAAAATTAAGTAAAATAGTGTACACTTAGACTGTCTTTATTTTATTCATTTATTTTTTATTTTTATTTTTTTGAAAGATGATCAGTAAGGGGATCTTAACCCTTGACTTGGTGTTGTCAGCACCACACTCACCCAATGAGCTAACCGGCCACCCCTATGTAGGAATCGGAACCCGTGGCCTTGGTGTTATCAGCACCACACTCTCCCAAGTGAGCCACAAGCCGGCCCTCTTAGGCTGTCTAATTTAAACCCAGGGAATGTAAGCTTTTATTTTTATTTTTCTTAACAATATCTAATCGAATAAGTGCGCAGTAATTTTGTTTTCTGGTTTTCAAACCATAGCCCTATTATGATCTGTTATTTTCAAATTGAGGCCGTATTCTTCCAGGATGAATGCTTGTGCTAGGAGAAAAACATACATACCTCTACTTTGCCTCTAAGCCAAACTGATCCAATATCAAGCTTTGAGGAGAACATTTCTTATCATTTTTTAAATTATAGTACTCCAGCGTATTTTGATATTCCTGACCCTTGGGGCTTTTGAAGTGCTAAATAGCGTATAATTGCTTTTTAAATTAAAACTCCTACTGATTAACATTAAGAAATCTTTCAGAGGTCTGCTGTAATGTTTTTGTGATCATTAGAGCTACCCTGGTATGTGTAGGAATTAGGACTGAAAAACTATCTTCGCTATTGATATTTAAGATTAGAGACCAAACAAAATGCAGTTTTAAATCTTATATGCAGAAATATGATCACAGAAACTTTTAAAATATATGCTTATATAACACTGGCCTTATAAATAAGTGTGTGAGGCAATTTCAGAAACTCCAAAAAAGCTTCTATTCTTCCTTTGATTCCTTGGTTTCTGAAATACAAACAAATTCTAATTCTAACGACTTGAAGAGTTTTCTATTACTTTTCCTGGAATGAATTTTAATAGAGGGCAAATGAAGAGAACTAATTTCTATCAGGGAAAAGAATGAGGTTAGACAAGGCTTTAGTGGCACATGACCCACTGAAAATATTTAGAGCCACCCCCAAGTCAATAAAATAGTGATTTATTGATTTACAAGTAGTGGATTTTTTGAGAGAAGTGAGGGTGGTCTTTTGATCTAGTATTTGACCAAAATATTAATTAGTGGTGTCAAATCTATATTGTACTGTAAAATATTTGCTGTTTCAGCTCTAGAGTCACGAAATACTGCATTACATTTCACAGTTGTATCTATATACTAAAATTCCATAAGTACACATCAAAATTTTGTGTGATAAGGTAACTCTATAATGACACTAAAATATTATTTTTAGTTTTAGAGACAAGTAGTAAACCCTTTTGTATTTTTTTAAATAAAAGAAAATAAAACATTAAGAGGAGTCACTAAGTAGAAGAGATATGTAGGTGTCAATATCTAATGTTCATTTTCTCTTTAAAATTTAAAATACCTGTATTTTCCTTTCACATCTGACTCCAGAATATCCAGTGCGGCAGGAACACACATTGGGAAATATACATCTACCTCCATAACGACATTTTTGATTGCAAATTGCTGCAAAACATACATTTTTACAATTACCATTTTTTGACACAGAATGCTTGTTGCATATTCTATGCCAGTGGTCTGAAGTTATTCAGTGACTGGAACACTGACACAGTGACAAGACTCTGTTAGTGAGGCGCCTACAGTTGGTTCTAATCTATGCACTTCCATTTTTCAGAACACACACACCAAAAATATGAAACACCTAAAACACAAACAACACTTTTACAATTCTCTACATATATTATTAAAGGAAACAAAAATTTCTTTGGCTACATTTTAATGTATTTGAAATACTTATATAACTCTTTTTTTCAGAGAAGTTCAAATCAATAATAGAAGGTAGCATCTGTAATTTACTTTTTAACAATTTAGCAAAAATTTAAAAGAGACAATTTAATATTGGCAAGTGTATGGAAAAATAGACAATTTTACAAACTACCATTGGAAGTTTAATGTGGAAAAATTCTATGGAAAATTTCTTTTTGTTTTGTTTTTTTTGGTGGCTGGCTGGTATGTAGTATCGGAAACTTAAAGATATTCACACTGTCTGAACCAGAAATTTCTTCCTTGAAATCTCTCCCAAGGCAATTAAAGCAAACCTATATCTATCTCAACATATCAATATCTGTCTATCAATCTAACTACCTATCATCTATCTATAGGGAGAAAATGCTTATAATACTTATCATAACTTGTAAATAACTAAAATATAAGGGGAAAGGTCAAATGAACTGTGGTTTTTATATGATGGAACTTAATATATCACTTAAATTATGCTTTTTAAGGATATTGTAAATGCTTTTAATTAATATCGAGTGAAAATGAGCATACTATAAAATATACAATATAGTTATCTTCCATGGGAGAGGAACTACTGCAGTGTCTCATATTGAAAGCTGTACAATTCAAGAATAATATTCCCTTTGATATAAATGCAGCATTGACAGGGTATATTTTCAGCAGGGCTGCTGTACACAGTTGAGCAGGTTGTGTAATGCACAAGGGCTCCACAGCTAAGGAAGCACCATTCACAGAATAGACATCATAAATTGGAATATTTATTACAACCATTTTCCAGCAGATGGTAGTAACACATCCTGTTTAAATAACATCATTAGACACTTTCTGGTCAGTTGGAAATAAAGCATTCTGAAAAGGTGAACTTTTTCTAATTCTCCTAACGGTGCTGCAGGGTGCAGAAACAGGATGCACAGCTTCAGGCTATGCTCTGAGAAGCTCAATATACAACCATTGGAGCATACTTCTGCATTAATGTACTTTTAACATCTTCTTATTCTCTCTCATGGTCCACACAGACCTTTCTCTGGAAGTCTAGATTGACAACTCTTTTTTCTAACATTTTATCTCATCTAACTTCTAATCAGAATTATTGATTTTTGAGCAAAAATTTCTCATGTAGATACTAGCGCTTCATAATACTTTGGTATTTTTTTTCTAGGATAAAAATGTATAAATTATAACAGCATTTATTAATAAAATATCTAAGTCACAATTATATGCAAAATTTCTGATGCATGGAAACAACAATGTGATTCACAAGTTATCAAACAGGAGGGCACATATTTCTAGTAAAAAGGCACGATCATGTAGCAACTGTAATTTCAGTTTACTTGGCCATCAGTTTTGAAAATATGTAATTGCTGATCATTTGAAAATATTTTGGGGAGATTTCCAATTTTTTCCATTAAGTTATATTATAACATGTTAATATTATAACATGTTGTTTCAAGTTTTCATAAAAATTTTTAAATTACATAAAATTTTAATTTGTTCTATACCCTGAGATTTCATTTATGTAGAAATTTATGACTAAAACTGGATGAAAACATATTAAAATACTAAAAAAGTAACAGAAATTAACTCTGGGTGGAGAAATTTGGAGTGATTAATTTTTTTATCAGTTTCCATATTTTTTAAGATTGTCATGATAAACATATATTTATCTTATATATAAAATAATACTAAACTTTTGTATTTTAAAATCTTCTTTGACCCACCTGAGAAAACTTCACTGACAGAGCCCACAGATCATAACTTGAAACGACCTATGTCACATAAATTATTAATAAATTATACCATACTTTTTTCTTTTAAATGGGTATAAAATTGGTTAAATTCTCTTTTAATTTCTAAAATCATTTTTTTTTAAAGGATCATCATATTGGAAGTTTTTCCTCTATGGATTTTTTCCCAAAGCTATACTTCAATTATTATAACAGATTCAGGTTCAGAACATATAGTAGAAATAAAATCCTGTGGGCTTACGTATTTGACACTGCACACCTTCCCAGGTGGAAGGACAATGGCATATGCTGGGAGCAGTACATTCACCACCATTTTTACATTTCTGAAAGCAGAGAGCTGCAAATAGAAATACAAACAAGTTAAATTAGTAGTCAAATCTATCATAAACCACAAAAATTTTCATTAAAAAAAAAGTTAAAAGGCAATGATTAAAAGATCTTTCCCTTAACATTTTATCAAGAATATTTTACAATGTTACTATTCTTGGCAAATGTGATTTTGGTGGTTATAAATGTTCCATTGTTTGAATGCATTGTGACTGAACTTTTCCCCCATTGGGGGGTATTTATGTTGCTTCACATTTTTCACTTTGATTAGTACACTATAATAGCTGCTAACTATAAATAATTTTACAGAAAGGAAAAAATATTAATCATTTGAATGAAGAGAGCTTCCATCATCTCAGAAACTAACCAGAGTGAAAGGCAGTGGCACCCCAGCTTGGAAAGGTCTGAACTGATTAGTTTGAGGTGTGATTTTTAAAAGTCCTTCCCTGACCCCTACTGCAGATTAGGAGAGCAGAATTTAAGGACTTGTTATTTACCATGGCAAGTGCAGTAGAAAAACTGAAAAAATACAATATACCCTCTTCCTCTGCCAACCTGAAAAGATGAATTCAGAGGACTTTGTACTTTATTCTATTTCAAAAATATATCTTCTAAGCAGGACTAAATAAGCAAAAATAAAAACAAATAAGCTGGGCTGGCAGTTATCTCAATTCGTTAGAGCATGGTGCTAACACCATGGTCCTGGGTTCGATCCCAGGACTGGCCAGCCGCCAAAAAAAAAAAAAAAAAAAAAAGGGGGGGGGGAAAAAAAAAAATCTCAATTCGTTAGAGCATGGTGCTAACACCATGGTCCTGGGTTCGATCCCAGGACTGGCCAGCCGCCAAAAAAAAAAAAAAAAAAAAAAGGGGGGGAGGAAAAAAGAAAAATGCTCTTTGCTTTATATCCAGCTTTATTTCCCCATGAAGCACATAAGCTTTAGCATTTAAAAAGCATTCCTCTTACGTGTGTTGCATTGTTTTCCACTCCAACCGGAAGGACAAGAGCAAATGTTTGGTCCCACACATCTTCCTCCATTCATGCATATAGGATCACAGATGCCTTAAGGTAAAAGCATGAAGAATAAGTTCTTAAACAGCAACACTTTTATGTTTGCTTCACATGTAGTTGACAAACACATTTAGTGGTGTCTTACTTTTTTGGCATCTTCTACCAATGTATCCTTCACGACAGATGCACACATTATTCCTCATGCAGTGGCCACCATTCTTACAGGGAGGGTGGCAGATAGCTGAAAGAACATATGGCAGCAATCTGTAAATATCACATATTCAATTATTATATAATATATGTTGTATCATGTGCTTGTTATCAATGGGCCATAAGGCAGAGGAATGTGCTATTAAAATAAAAGATCACAACTGCAAGTCATTAAAATTGTCCTTTCTAAATCATAAAATACAGTGTTTATAGCTATAAGCTGCTAGTGGGTTAGCACAATCGGAAATGTATTGATGAAGCGCTCATAACAAATGGAGTCCTCAGCTTTATAGTGCATATTTTATAAACCTTATGTCTCACCATATGTATGCACGAGATGATCTGGACAAAACCAAGAAATAAGTCAAAACCTAACTCAAAATAAGAATGTACCGGTTCTCATGGAAATTAGAAAAAGCTCAACAATTTATCATGATATCTAGAAAACACTTTTAAATTAACTTTTGAATACTTACTGAGATCATAAAGGCAGAGGTTTACTTGTAACTTATTCTTGTGAATGCTTGGTAAGAATCTTTACAACAATAAATCCTTGTCTTTGTTAGGAATACTTATTAGATAACTTCTAATTCAATTTGCTAGCATGTTCTATGTGTATGATCCTGTTCCGTGAAATTCAAAGGTTAATATTTGTAATTTTTTATGAGTAAGTTGTTATTGCTTCATGTTTCTTTCAGATATAAAAATTAAATGCAGGGTGTTTTTTGTTTGTTTGTTTAAATAATAGAAAAGCAAACCTGCCTGAAAAATTTTAAATTTAATTTTTTCCTAAATGATAATTAAATGTATTTTAGTTTGCATTTTAAAAATAAACTTCAAATTAACTAGTTTTGGTAACATGGCTGTTGTAGACTGACTCGCAGTTTAAATTAGATCCATCTTTAATATAAGCTGCTTTCTTTACTTCCAACATTGTAAAAAAATTTCCACTGATTTCAAATAAATTCATAAGTAAAAATATAAAAACAGTATAACTGAATGCTTTTAGCAAGTGGATAACTTGCACTGTTTTAGGCTGTGCTTTTTCTGGTTCATGCTGAGTCTACTTTCTCTGGCATTTTACTGGTACTTTTTAAGAGTGGAGAAATGCTCTGTCATTTTCTGCTCCTTATTCTTCATACAACTTAAGATTATTTCTATTTATTAAGAAAACTATATTTTTCCATTACAAAAACACCATAGGAAATGCCTAATTAGAAATTTAAAACTAAAATAAAACATATTGTTTATGATGGGTAAACTTGCTATAATTAATAATCATCCACAAAGACTTGAGTGTAGATATAAATACTACATTTACACAAAAAAGCATGTATAATTAAAACAAATATAAAGGACATAAAATTTAGGCTTGGCCATGTCTACTTATAATCTCACATCAGGAAAAGGAGGATTAGGACAAAATCTACCCTCACATGTATATTTATGAGATTCTATAGGCCTCCTTTCACTCTTTCATCAAGGCTCAAAGTGAGCCAAATAATCGGGACTCACCTTTCATGTGAAATTCAAGAGGTGAAGGAAACTGGAAGATGTATTTAAATATCTCTTTAGCCATCCATTTTAAGCCTTGCTTATTAAATGCTTTCATGATGTTTCTAGATCAATTTCTGTATCTCTCTTTTGTGAAATTCTGTAGTACACACAGTAATTGTGCCCCATATTTATTTTTAACCATATTCTGCCTAATTTTATTCAATCGCTTTCAATGTGTGTGCCATCTTTGCTCCCCACCATTTGGACTCAGAAGGAAATGTGATCTAATAAGAATTAGACCTTACAGCAACTTTCTAGATCAAATGTGAAAGCCAGGAAATCTGAGGGCTGCAAACTTTGAGCAAATTTCCAAAGTCTGTGCCAGCTGGGAAGTTGCAGAGACTAGCTAATTCCAAAACCTACTCTCTTTCCTCAACAACTTGTCTCCTGGGCCCTTAAAACATGGCATATGTTTTAGTTCAACTTAATAGGTAATTTTTAGTTCAAATTGATCATTTAGAGATTTCCTCCCTTTATTTAGTTACACTGGTGGCATCTACATTTTAAAGGAGAACTTTTCTTACTATGTCTTACATCTACTGCAAGCAGCATGACAGACACAAGCTTTTCATTCCCCTCTTACGTTCTCCACTCAAAACTACACCTATAACTCTTCAGCAGGGGTTTAGTCATAGTCTCCTAGTTTTTGAGATTTGCCTTAACTTAGTTTTCACTTCTTTCTTTTCTGTAAACTGGTTCCTCAGAGAAAATCTGAATTAGAGAAACTCGTTCCCTGTGCCCGTACATCCTGTTAGAGTGATGGTTTCTTTGCTTCAATTTTATCCTAAGAATCGTAGCCAACCTCCAAATAGAAACAGAATTGCAAACCAAAGTGCATCATGGCAAGGCAAGTATGAATTTTAGGAATTAAATTATGGAGATGTTATAACATGTTCTATACTAAAAATTTACATTTTGTATAATTTCAAAAATATAAAGGTGTAGATAAATGCATTTTAAATTTCATTTATTGACATTAACTCATATCTACTCTCTCCCCCTCAGGACATTCCCATTTTTCTGAAAAAAACAAAACAAAACAAACAACAAAACCCCCTCAAAACCTGTAGTTTTAACTAGATGAGGGCAAGTGTTAAAATAATGACCCATAAAGAGGAAAAACGATGCATCTTTATGACTCTGCATCATCTTGCGTAGTGTTGTGCACAGGTGACTCTTCATAAATGTTTAATGAAACTAAAGTCAAGAGAGATCATGGTAAACAGTGGACAACAGATTGAACATTTTTTTGTTGTTGTTATAAAGGCAACAAAAATAATACCATTTTATTATAATAGACTGTAGGAAAACTTTGCTTATTTATTTCACACCTTGTTCCTACATAACCGCACATACAAGTGCCAAGGTTGTGAGTCTAACATATGTTGAATAAATATAATCATTATATGTAATAACTGTGATATATTTGTATGAACTGGTTATTTGGTGACTATATCTGCAACATCACAAGAAATAGAGGGGAAATACAAATAACATCTTCCCTTTGAGACTTGTCCCATGTTTACTCACAGTTCTGTTGATGTCTAACTTCTGCCTTTTTTACTCACAAAATATGAATAATTACCATTCTGACAGTGTGTACCAAAGAATCCATTTGGACAGAGGCAAGTGTTTGGCTTATTACAGGAACCACCATTGAGGCAAACAGGGTCACACAAAGCTAATGAATAGCAGAAGGAAAAGAGACCGTAAAAGATTTACTACTTAAAAAATGGAAGCTGCACAGAAATACAAAATGGTGCATAATAAAATATTTTATTTTTACTGCAAGTAAAATCCATAACCTATAATTAATTAGACTTTTCTAAAAATAAGAGGAATGAAATAACTGGATAATCACTTCGAAAGTATGTTCATTAAATTTACAAATAATACTAAGCTAAGAGTGTGAAGGCTATGATTAGAATTCAGAAGTCTTCGGTGAGCTAAAAATAGTAATTGTTAGTTACAAGAAGACAATTCAGTTCAACAGCACTAACAGGATGGTTTGTAATCTGCTCAAATACATGTGGCCATTCATTTCTTTCTGTACCTTTCCCAATTAAAATGGGAACCCTCCGCTCAAGTCCTACCACACTCAAGAACTTTCTTTGTTTTTGTTTTCTTTTCTTTGTTTTGCTTTGAAAGGCACTGCAATTCCGTTTTTCAACTTAGATTTTCCCCATTCTGTAAGGTCTAATACAAATACTATTTTTTTCCAAACTCCACTTGCCAGAATTAGTTTCTGTCTTCTCTGATTCCAAGTGATTACATCATTCATCATAACCCAACTTGTATCACAATCATTTTTATAATTGTATCCCAAGTCTCCTTCACTTACGATATGTTACTTGAAATCAAGGCAAAAATCAAATTGATCTTTGTTTCCCTGTGCATCATGCCTTATATATTAGTGGACAAGTTATAATGTTGGTTTAAATTTTCATTGAGAGAAGTCATTAAATTGCAGTGGATTAGATTAAACGCAGATAATTGTAAACACTGCTCCCAAAGAAGCAAACAGATACTGTAAAAAATGAAGGGAATAACATGATAGGTGTCTGCTTAACTCAGAACTTCTTAAATATTTAATGAAACAGAATGCCGGTGTTGTGATCAAACATTTAAAAGAAAGCTAGAAGATGAACCACAGATACATTTTTCTCCAGTAGGGAATGAAGAAAACATAAAGGCAAAAAAACCCAAAAACCAAAAATCAAACCCCCCCCCCCCCCC